TCTGTTGTCTCTAATCTACATGCACAGCCCCGTGCCACTGTTTTGTAAGCTGCCTCAAGCAGACATCCTCCATCTCATTCTTGCCCTGCCCTGCTCAGGGAAGGTAAGCAGAGACCCATGTCTTGGAGGCTCTATGCCCTTGACTTGCATGTAAGCTTGAAGCCTTTCAGTCATTGGACTCTCAGCAAAATTGGGTGGCAAGAAATCAGCCCACAGGGATGTGCTCCTGCCCTAGTGTCCATGGTAGGATGACTAGATAAAGTGTGAAAAATGGGGATGGGGGGTAATAGGTGCCTATATAAGAAGAAGCCCCAAATATTGGGGTTTTCCCTATAAAATTGGGACATCTGGTCACCTTAGCCCATGCTGGGGCACTCTTCTATGCAGATCTTGTTTCTCTGAAGTGAAGGTTTCTGGAGGAGACCTTGCTATCTACAGCCCTTTCGTGCATACTGCATCCTAGAGATATGGTGCTTGGTGAAAAGACAAAGTAGCAGAGCCAAATAGATCAATCAGTAATGTCCAAGAGGGAGCATGGTGCTGTTCAGAGGGGGAGCATGGTGCTGTTCAGAGGGGGGAGCTCTGGGCTTGGGGTGCAGGCTCTGGGCTGGGGCCAGGGATGAGGAGCTTGGGGTGCAGGAAGGGTTCCAAGTTTGGGGGGGGCTCAGGGCTGGGGCAGGGGATTGGGGCACGGATTTACCTCTAGTGGCTCCCGGTCAGTGGCGCAGCCAGGGTGCAGAGGCAGGCTTCCTGCCTGTCCTGGCACCACGGACCGCGCTGAGCCCCAGAAGCAACCAGCAGCAGGTCCGGCTCCTAGGTGGAGGTGCACAAGCAGCTACGCGTGGCTCTCTCCCACAGGCACTGCCCAAACCAACCAATGGGAGTGTGGAGCTGGTGCTCGGGCTGAGTGTGTAGCTCCATGGCCCTCCTGCCTACGAGCCGGACCTGCTGCTGTCCGCTTCCGGGGCACAGCGTGGTGTCAGAACAGGTAGGGACTAGCCTACCTTAGCCAGGCAGCACCACCGATGGGACTTTTAATGTCCCGGTTGGCGGTGCTGACCAGAACTGCCACGACCTAGTGCCTTACGTTCTGTGACCCCGTACTGGGTCGTGACCCGCAGTTTGAAAACCACTGGCTTAGATGATGAGTTGGGAGGGAGAAACTGGGACTGGCTGGGCAAAGAGACTGGGGAAAGGAGCTGGGGAGGGTTGGAAGGGAACTAGGAATGGCTGGGCAAGGAGCCTGGGAGCAGGTGAAGACTGGGTGTGAGGGAGGGACTGGAACTTGGTGTCTGGAGTGGGAGATGAGGACTTGCTGGACAAAGAGACTGGGATGTGAAACCTGAGGAATAAAGACCAGGAATTTCTAAGTGAGGAGACTGAAACTGGAATAAGAAGCCTAGGGTAGAGAAGTGATAGGACTGAGACAAGGACAGGTTGGAGGGGAATAGGCAAAAGGGGCCAAGGGTTGAGGGAAATGAGCAGAAGAGTCTGAGCCCACTAGAGCATGTTCCTCTCCCTAGCCTGGAACAGAAGCTAAGATTCTTAAGTCTCACCATCCCTCTGCTGTCAGCAAATATCTGTAAAACTGGCAGTGTTTCATCCCCCTCTAATGCTGGTCCATATAGAAGATGACAACCTATTACTGCTATCAGTTACTCTGTTAGCCCAAGTGGAAGAGGTCTGTGTGGTGGATCTAAAGATTCTAATCCTGCTGCTGACCATGTGAGTGTGAATATGATGCCATATAATGCAATTTGTTTTTTTAGTTTGCATTTTTAAGGATGTAGGAAATTACACACAAACTTTGCTAAAAGAATATTACTAAGGTTGCAAAGTCAAGCACTCAAGTTAGGAAATGCCAGAATTAACACTGTCTGTGCATCCTTAATTCAGCCCCACTTGTGTGTACGGATTATGATAGTTTTTAATTATATGATAACATACTCCCCCTCCTCAATTCAGCCCCACTTGTGTGTACGGATTATGATAGTTTTTAATTATATGATAACATACTCCCCCTCCTCAATTCAGCCCCACTTGTGTGTACGGATTATGATAGTTTTTAAT